GATAGCAATAACTCTAGATTTTGCTGACAATCTAGTTGACTCTTATAGCAGCAGTCTTTCTTTCTTTACAGCTGGATACTTGCCTTGTTTTGTTAAACCCAAATTCCATCTCATTCTGCGTTATTTTGTGAGTTATTTGGCGTATTCCAGAAATAGAGATTTAATCCTGCATGCTAAATGTGTATTCTCTCTTTTTTTTTAAAAAAAAAATATGTATTTCTATGGATCACCTTCTACTCTGTTGCATTGGTTCAACAAATTATTTTATACAAGAATTTATAACAATTATATTCCTTAAGCATCCTCACTGTGCATGTCTACAAAATATTGTTGTCTTCACACATTTACTCTGTCATCATAAGTGGGAAAACCTCTTCATAGTTCTTTTATGCCTTCGTTTTCATTCTTTATATGGGATTTAGCCATTTGGGCTGAATTTCCTAAAGTGGCAGACATTATGCACCTGATCATGCTGCAGTAATATACAGGATACATATTAAATTCTAACTTGAGCTTTTTTTTTCTTTTAAAAATAGGAATCGTTGAAAGATTTTTTATATAAAAGAGAAAATGGAGAGCTACTAATCCAGAAATCCCGAAGACTGAAAGAAACTCTTTACAAGAAGGTATTACATCACAAAACATTTTGAGGGTTCTCCTAACGCTCCAGAACAATTTTGTTCCCTACTCGTTTGCTCCAGCCACCAAACTCAATGGCCGTGCATTGTGGGAAAGGCAAAGGGGAACTGTGCACACTTACCGTCTTACTCTCTCTTCTCGCAAACAGGAGCCGCTTTCCATTTCAAAAGATGGATTTATTCATTTTGGAGACACAGTTCTATTCATGAACCTAGACGTCACTAGACTCCCGGAGGAAAAAGCTTTAATTGTGGGTGGAAATCTGTCCCTGGCTGTGAATCCGGATATATCGACTCTGTATACGGGCGATAATTTGTCAGCTCCGTGTGACTTGAGTGCAATCAATCATGTGAACCCCGTGGGGCGGAATGCATTTCGGATTTTAAGGTGGGACACTCTCTCGCAAAAAGACTTAGCAGTAAGATGGGCGAAGGACCAAGTCTAGTGAACGTTGAGAGGGAAAGGGATGGAACAATGGATGTCATTGTGGGAGGAGCCATGTTGATGACGCCACACCGAGTGCAGCTGGTAGGATGAACAGGGCCCAAAGGGAGAGTTAAATAAAACCAAAAGTGAGTGGGGACACTTATTCTCTCTTGACACACACAGACACGCATATCTCTTCCAAGGATCTCTTTATCCATGGTCCCCGCTGAACTCTGACCTAACGTGTCTGCAGTTGGCCTGAGAACCACATGGAATTAGTCTGAAGGTCACATATGGCCTTAAAACAGTAAGTCAGAGGTGGGCAACGTGATTCTCCAAGACCTGGAAGAATGGTTTCCTCGTCTGGTTACAATTGCTGAAAATTGAGAGTACCACTTGCCACCATCTTGAGATGGGAAACACAGACTGAATATCGTATGACTCCTAAAATAGGCACATCAGAGCTAGAAGGCACAGAATTTCCCATTCTTCCTCCAAATCTACTCTGCATATTATATGGCCCCATTTATTAGATGCACAGTCCTTCTGTTCATTTCTGCTCTAAGTGTATTATGTAACTGTAGGGCAACGAAGAGATGATGAATCACCCGCTTGCCATCCCTGATTGGCAGCTTTTCCCCAAGTTTCCAGATCACAATGTTTTTCCACCCTGCCTGGAATTGCCTTTTTTTTTTGTTAGAAATGAAATCTTTATCACTGACTGCAGATTTGACTCCAGGTCTTTTTTTGCTCCTTGATGAGTGCTTAGCAGTACACTGTAATTTTATCATTTTTCAATGGATGTTCCTGTTTAAAATTGATCCTTTTTCTCTGTCTCTTACACACACACAATCACACACACACACCACCCACACATGCACACATTCTCTGCTGGTTTATAATGGCTGCTTCACAGCCTTTTATTGCTGTGTATGTTGAAAATAAATTTGTAAAGAATGCCATCAAGTTTGTGGGCTGAAATATCTTGTTAAGTCTCTACCTTTCCCTCCCAAATGTTCTCTTTCTCCCCATGAAAAGTTGGACTGGAAACTTTTAGGAACCAAGTGGTTCCTTTTCCCCCTTTTGCTTAGACTCCCAGGGAAAAACATTTTCTGTGTATAGAATTAAAGGAGTTGCTTTAAAGTAAACGATTGTATTGCGTTATGTTGCACTGATATTTTTCTCCTTATATGAAAGCCTGGAAGGAGAAGCCATGGGGGAACCTGTTAGATTCGGGCAGAATTTTGGCCTTGGAACAGCTGGTGGATTTCAGGATAAAATGGTGAGTGATAACTAACATCATTTTAATAAGTCCAATGTTTCATAAAGAAATCCATTTTGGGAGGAGTTAATAGAAAATGCCTTTGTCAGGAGAACTGAAGTCTAGTTAGACAAGCCCGAGTTAAAAATAATCTGATATAGGATGAAACCACCTAAGAAACACTGTCCAACTTTTATATAGTCCCTAATCCAGTTCAGAGTTATAATCCTAGATGCATTGGTGTATCTTGACCTTTTTTTCTTCTTCTTCTTAACTCCACTTCCCTGGAGATGCCCGTGAGTGGATCCTATTGTTCAATTTCAAATTTTCATCTGTATCCCAAGCACAACTTTTAGATCAGNTTTAAAAAAACAAGTTTGAATTCAAAAACAGCCTTTCTTATGATGCTAGACATTTTATTATAAATGGGGCAATCTCTACAGTTTACAAGTTGGTCCCAAACTCTTAATTGGGAATTCTAAATAAACTTGAGCAACAACAAATGTTTATCCACTCTCTTATGTAAGTATCCAGCAGGAGAGTTTTGTAATCCAGGGATCAGATTTAAAATAAATCTAGTCACCTTGTGCATTGTCTCACATATTCCAGAAGATGGAGCTGCTGTATAGTCCTTAATAATCCTGCTGCTGCAAAGTTGAGAACTTTTAAATAGGTTGTCCTATTAAATATAAAAATGATGTTTTAGTACTGCGTATGATCTGCAGTATGTCCGATATCCTAAAAAATGTGCAATGCCAGTGATGTACATTGTATATGTCTCTAATAAGTGACCAAAATAAATAGGAATTTGTAGTATATTAGTCTTTACCAACAACACACTAAATGTTTATTTGGCAAAGATTTCTCACTCTTTAGAATGCCACACGACCCTTTGTTCTGTTTTTATATTTAGAAGTTGTTTGTTTTAAAGTTGGATATAGTAAAAGCAAAAGCAAGTAAAAGAGTTCTTGATGAGAATATCAAGCTATTCATGATTTGAATTATGAAAATTCATATATTCACTGCGACATTATTATGTTATGACAGTGTAAATACTGTGAAATCACAATCTTTGTTTTCCAGCTTGGATGTCCCCACTTTCCTTCCTCACAACTAGTATTCTATTTATGTAAAATTTCCATATGTAGCATTTCGTCTACTTTGGTGTGAACCCCAACAACTTGGTAAATTTGGAATGATTCTTTTTTCATTGCATCTCTCAAGATGTGGAAGTCCTCCACAGAAAGGTCAGGATGAATTTATCCTTGTTTGTTTGGCAGGTGAAAACATTTGTGGTCAAGTTAAGACTTTGACTTTTAAACTGTTATGGTTGAGTTGAACGGATGCTGTTTTTTTTTTAAGCCAATACATTAACAACAATGCCTTTATTCTGAATTTAATTATGTGTTTCTTATATATCAATAACAATTATTAATTTGGGGTATTATTATTATTAATTCAGGGTAGAGTCGATAGCTTTGACTCCACCCCAAGTAAGGGATTACAGGATCATAAAAAGGGAGGGTTTTTTTCTCTTATGTATCAATAGATGCCTTAAATACTATAAAAAGGAAGCAGATACACAAACCATTTGAGATACAAGCAGTTGGCTTATTCCTTTATTCCCCAGCTCTAACCACCACTTTCACTTCCTTGATTTCCTTCTTGTGCATGTTATCTTGTTTATTTATCTTTTTTTAAAAAAAATAATAATAATATTGCCTCCATCAAAAACAGGATATCATTCACTGTAAAGCTGCGAGAAAGAACGGTTCAGTTATTTTTAATCTGGAATATCCATATGTGTGTTTGTCTCTCAAAGAAGCTTGTCAAGTTGCACTGTCACATTCTTTCTCTCTCTTTTTGCTTTACAAAAAGAGTTTTTTTTTGCTTTACAAAAATGGGTCTCATTTGTGGCTGTCTCCAGTCCAGCTATTGAATTAAAAGGATGCAGATAAGTTCTCACACCTTCCCTCATCCATTCTAGTCAGATCGATTCTGATTGGCTAACAGCCCTGTCCCACTAGACCAATCCTGGCCAATCCTGGTCCCCATAGCAACCTGTAAACCCAACATTGATCAGTTATTTTGCTGATTGCAGACTTGCTGAAAGTGTCGTTTTCTTTAAGCCAGCTTGGTGCCCTCACGTCTAATCCTCTCCAGATGATCAATGTTCGGACAAGTAAAAGTGGCCGGGTATACAGTCCTGGTGTGCTTCTTGGAAACTGGTTTGAAGACGTGTGCCTAGAAGAGGTAAATAAAAACTCTCCACCCTTTACATTGTTCCATTCGTGTTTTGCTCTTTGTGCAAATCTCAAAAGCAACTTTGTTGAGCACAATATGAGAGGGAGATTTGATAGCAATAACTCTAGATTTTGCTGACAATCTAGTTGACTCTTATAGCAGCAGTCTTTCTTTCTTTACAGCTGGATACTTGCCTTGTTTTGTTAAACCCAAATTCCATCTCATTCTGCGTTATTTTGTGAGTTATTTGGCGTATTCCAGAAATAGAGATTTAATCCTGCATGCTAAATGTGTATTCTCTCTTTTTTTT